ATCGGCCCCTCCGGGCGCGCGTGCGGAGGGGACGGCTCCTGCACCATGGCGACGTTGATGCGGGCGGGGGGTGCGGGTGTGGCGGTGGCGGTGGCGGTGGCGGTGGCGGTGGCGGCGGTGGTAGCGGGAGCGGGACGGGCGCGCAACGACGAAGAAATAATTGCAGGTGAGCGGAGCAGCGGAGCCGGTGGGTGTGTCACTGGTGCATGACGGCATGGCGGAGGACCAGAAGAGAAGTTTCTCAGGCAGTGTAATGGACGTGGGTCACTGTAATGCGGATACTCTCCGTAGCGATTGGCCGTTTACACTGTAAGGGAAGGCTCTGGAAGTGTACAGCAAGGCGCCCTGCTTGCGCCGTGCTATTGGACACAGATCTGCCACGTGTATAGAGGGGATTGGTACAAACGGGTCTACGCAAAAGGGACAATTATTGCGGCCATGGCACAGCCCTACAGTACAGCATAGACAGCTGTGCGCTGGTGCAGCGTCTCCGTGGCCTTTTTTAAAAGGCACCGCATCGCCAACCTTCCAACCTCAATTCCGGCCAGTGCCAACCCTTCCTTCGCGTGCATATCAACCTCACCCATTGTCGTTCTCCCTCCCTGTCCCGCCTGCCCCCCCCCCACCATCCCCATCCACAATGCCGCCCACGCACACCCTCCTCCCCCTCCAGCGCGCACACCAGTCGCCCCGCAACTTTCGCAACGCGGGCAACTCGTGCTACATCTCGTCGCTGCTCGTCTCCCTCTTCGCCGACTTTGACGCCCTCGACGCGCTGCTCCTCGCCCCCACGCCCCTCTGCGACGCGCTCCGCCGCGCCGTCAACCTCGTCCGCTCCGCCCAGCCCGTCTCCTTGCCGCGCGTGCGCGCGCTTCGCGCCGCGCTCATCGACGCGGGATGGCACCGCGGCACGGGCCAGCAAGACGTCGCGGAGCTGCTGGCCTTCCTCTTCGACGCCCTCTCGGCCCCGTTTGTCCCCTTGTACAACAACATCCTGCATGCCCGCACGCCCGACCCCGCCGACCACGTCCCGTCCACGGAGCGTCTGCTCTGGCTGGACGTCCCGCCGCCGCCGCCCTCGGCGCCCCGCGTCCACCTCCGTGCCCTGCTGGACGACTACTTCTTCGCCCAGACGAGGCCCGGCCTGAGAAGGCAGGGCGTGGGCGTCGACGCCACCGTCGCGAAGAGCCTGCTCCCGTTCTACACCCCGGACCGGGAGACGGGCGAGACCGTGCGCGCCACGCGCCACAAGTTCCGCTACCTCACCCTCCCGCTCGCCCTGAAGCGCTTCGGCGCGCACTCCGGGGAGAAGCGCCGCGACCCGGTCAGCATCCCGACCGCGCTGGACTGCACGGACTACGTCAACGAGTTTGCGGGCGGCGCACGGTACTCCATGCTGCTGCGGAGTGTCGTGTGCCACCGCGGCCCGTCCATTGGCGCCGGCCACTACGTCGCGTACACGTACGGCCCGCGCGTGGGGTGGCGCCAGTGGAACGACCTGGACGAAGGCGCCGTGCGCAGCGCGCGCGGCTCCGCGGCCACCGGCGAGCCGGAGCGCGAGATGTGGGCCGAGGAGATTGCAAGGGATAGCTACTTGCTGCTTTATGAGCTCGTGCCAGGCGACGGGGAGGTAAAGGGCGCCGCGTGGCGCACGGAGCTCCAGATCCTGGCCGACGCTCACTTGGCCGCGCAGAGGCAGTTCCAGGAGGATCGCAGCGCCGCGCTGCGCGTGTCAGCAGATGCTGGTGGTGTTGATGCATCATATTTTGCAAGACGGAGATTTTGTAGCTGCGCAAGCGCGGGAGACGATGGTGTGGTGGGGAAGGCGCTTTTTCTGGGCCGTGACAGAAGGACGTCGGAAAAGACCGCTTTGCCAAGGTTTTGTGGTGCTTGCTACATATGCATCTTAATGTTAATTCTTGCTCGTTGCGAAGTTCACGGTTTTGGCGCAACCAGCCGGTTCGGAGCTCCGTTTGAAGTCGGTTCTTAACTTGTAACTTTCTTTATATATATACACCCAAGACGTTACGTCAATGTAGCTGATCGTTGCCGTTTAATGAGCGGCCGCAAATGTAAGCGTCGGCAGTTCGTATGCCTCCGTTTGATTGCCCGCGACGTGTTCATCTTGTGATAGCACGGACCTCCTCTTCAATCGCAACAGTATGACCTTCAAAACGTTGACGCAGTCCTTGCACGGGACTGCTCCTTTTTAACTCTTTTGTTCCGTCTGCAGTTGAACGGGGCCGGTCCACGCTCCTCGCCAGGGGGGACAAAGAAAGCGTCCTGGCTTTCAACTAAAAGCAAAGGCTGTGAAGCATGTCATTCGAAGGGCCCTTCTCCGCTTTGCACACCCAGGCCACTAGTATGCAGGAATGACTTTCACTCACGCTGGGCTCGGAGTCTGGACCAGCCCCCACCTGCCTCGAAAGGACATGGTCATCTCACGTTTGAGGGGAAAGCCAAAGTAGACGGAACAAAGAACGGTAGGTAACGTTCTTGAGTGCCACGCTGTGGGGCTTTCCAAGGTAATATGAATCAAAATCGATCTCACATACATGTCGTATCGTGGCTGCAGTCATGTGTTGATGGGATAGAGGCCAGGTAAGTCTTACACACTAACCTCACCCAAACGATGGCTTTTGGTGTGTCATATCCGAAAGACATGGAAGGAGTTGAGAGCCGTGTCCAGAGTGTCGATAATCTTCTTCCAACGAATATCCGTACAACTCCCCGTCAACGCATAAAGCCTGCCATCCGCCAGCATGGTGGCCCTTGTCCTCCCACGCCTTCCCACCGTATACCCGCTAACCGTGATACTCTCATACTTTGTATCAATAACGCGGTATCCCTCCTCGTCAATAACATCCCTCACGAGTTTTGGATTGGGGGCGCTCCCGGTGGCATCCCCCGGGGTAACAAGGTCAGCAATAGTGGCGGCCGGGACCGACTTGACATCCTTGATGCCATGCGGGAGCTGTGCGGAGACGAAAAACGAGAGGCCCTCCGCCTTGCGATAGTCTCCGGCGGTGAGGCCACTGGCGCGGCCCTCCATCGGGGCGCGCGCGGCGCCCATGGACATGCGGCCGTTCGCCTGCGAGAGGCCGGCGGAGTCTGCGACGGGCAGGACGTTGCGCTGGACGATCCAGGCGGAGGGGTATTGAAACTCGACGACGAGCTTGTCGTACTGCTCGAGGAGCGGCGTGAAGCCGGAGACGTCGCGCAGGTTGGGAAGGCCGTACGCGCTGAGCACGCTGTTGACGATGGAGCGGCCCGTGACTACGGCGGCTGAGGCCGGCTGCGCCGGGGATAGCAGCGCGGCCGTGGCTGTGGCAGCCACGGCCCAGCGGCGCACGCAGTCGCGGCGTGAGATGGAGCTCGAGGCGGCGTTGGGGGGCGTCGGGCTTGCGGTCATGGAGAGGGCCGGTATGAACGCCGGTGGTGATGGTTTGGTGACGGACATGGTGGAGGATGGGATGAAGATGGGATGAGGATGAGAATGCGTGTGGGCACGAACGCGGTGGACTTGATGAACAACGAGGAAAAGGTTGGTAGGTGGGTAGTTTGTCTCTGTCTGTAGATGGGAATGAGGGGGAGTTGCTCGCTTTTGAGCTCCGATGGTGCGTAAGCAATGGCAGCCACACGCCACATAGAGCAGGATGTGAACACCTTGTACACGTGTGAATGTTGGTGTACTGCGTTGTTTGGTGTTGGGAATACAGCACACGTGTACAGTACAGGTTCCGGAAAAGAAGGGCGGCGCAGAGGGGACGAAAGGAAAGAAAGATGGATCCCAAGTTCTTCGATGCCGAAAATGAGCGTGGGGCGTAGCCTGGAGATCCTTTATTATAAGCTGCGGCGTCGGAAATTTTATCGGAAACGAACTCAAGAAACGATTTTGAGAAGAAAGGCAGACTGGTGAAATGGACAGAGGACTCAGGAGGAGCAGAAGGGTGTCGAAGGCGTATGTAGAGAAAAACAATAGCGCAGCAGTGGGAAATCATGGATAGGCGTTGCTGTTTAGAAGACGGTCCGGATCCGGGCGGGCAGATTTGTTTCTTTTTGGTCTAAGGTGCAGTATAGAAGAAAAGAAAGGTTGCAGCCGTTGTTGGAGGCTTTCTGCTTCGTGCAAGGTTCCCCATGTTGAGGGTACGCACTGGCCTGGAGCCCTTCTGACTCCCGGCCGGGCGAACCCTCACGTGCCGCGCAGCTTCTCCCGCGCTCGTCTGGTGAGACGTAAGTCTCCTTGTTCCGCCGTCTGGGAGCTGCGCAGCACACCCGGCGCCAACAAACAGGGCCCGAGGGTAGACTGCCGTCCTCCGACAGGCCCCTTGACTCCGGCTCTTAGAACGCTACGCAAACCATGCCGTCTCGTGCCCTACCCACGTCACAGACCTGATTCGCACTTGCGCTCGTGTCGCGGACAGAGTACTGCTCCCCGGTGGCCAAGTAGCCGTCTTTGGCTGCGTCCTGCCACCAGCCCGTTTTCACAGATCCAGGACCGTTGACACTGAGGCTGCCCATGCGCGGGCCGCTCATGAGGAGTGGATCTCCGCGGTCGGCTGGCTTGATATGCCCATCGCGATATGTGAGGAGTAATCTGCCAGGCGTGGTTACGACGTGGCCCGAACTGGATACCTCTAGATTGCCCGCTTCTACAAGCTCTTGTATCTTAACCGATTCCAGCCTAACGGATGGGTCCTGGTATGTCTCCTGTCCCCTGAGCGAGACGTAGCACCCGGTCCCCGGTGCTACTGGCACCTGATCTGTGCAGCTACATAGCGCCAACAGAACTTGACTGGTAGAAAGCCACCCGGCTCGGCTGATGGCAGCTGGTCCAACTGTATTGTCGGTACGAGATGATAGCACCAACTCCTCTACTACATCCCTGTAGTCTAGTCTTCCAGGAATGCACACCGTGGCGGCTTCAGAAAGAAGGGTGTGCTGGACCTCTTCCCTAATTTGGTGTGGACTGGTGACATTCTCAGCTGGCACCAGCCTTACTCGCTTGCTCACGCCAGCCACAAGCAGGTGGTTACGTGCTGACTTGTAAGTCACTTCTGCGCCCGTTTCCGCGGTGCCCCATGAGTATGAGCTTCTCCGATCGTTTTACGTTGATATCAATAACGTCCGACTCACTGCCATATGACGTCTCGAGGTGGCAAGACCTATCCCCGCTTCTGACAATCGCGGTCCAGGGCGTTGCCTCAGGTGTCCTGTCACAGTTGAACCTGGTCAGGTTTGACATAGCCAAAACTTTCCTACTTGAGTCCAACGTCAGAGATTTCTCACGAAACTCTCCGTCTAGTGTCGTGTTCTTAAGCCAAACGTACACGAAGACTCCGCAAACAAGATTACTAAGCAAGATGCTTATTCCAGCGAAGAAATGAGTATTCACCGTTGCTACGGTATGAGTATCTCTCAAACACCTGCCTCTGGTTACGCGGAGATCTTTCGCTATCCATGTGGTGCGAGTGGGCGCACTAGTGTTTGCCTCCGTTCGCCACTGATGGTATATCTCCCAGGCCCTGGAGAACTTCGCCGTCTCTATTTGTAGTGACCGAAAAGCCGACGCCATGCTAGCCAAGTTTCCCCAATCCTTCTCCCTACACTCCATACCCTCTGCGTACAGCGGGTCACCCGTGAGGCCCAAACATATAATAGCCCTGTGACCACTGTGTGATATCATTAGGCTGGAAGTCTCCTTCATGACCAACACCGTGTCGTTGCTGGCCATTACCTCGACTTCCATCTTATTGGTGGGTCTACTGGCTGGTCTACTTCTTCCAAAATCAAATTCACTCCAAGGTACTACGAGCTTACGTGTGGCCGTCCCGTAATCTAAAGTCAAGCGGTGAGTGTCGAACAAGCCAGATTCCAATCCATTGTCAGTTGAGTCATGTTTGATTATGACCGTCCGGCTGACTTTCGAGTCAACGCATTGTATCCCCCACTGCTTCGGGTACGCCGGGGCGTCTGTACAATTTATCCTCAGCCTGGGTTGTGCCTGGAGTTCAAATGATACAACTGAGCCGGCATAACTGTGTCGTCTTAAGCTCCTCTTGAAGAATAGGCTGCTTGCGATTTCAACGACGGCGATGGAAGGACTACCCTCTGCGCTATCCTCCTCTAGAACATAGAGCTCTGTGCCCGTGAAAAGTATGAGTCGTCGCCCTCGTACCAGAACGGCTGCCGCTTGCCCGGCAAACCAAATATCCTTCCCCCTACTGGCCAGAATCCATTCATTTCGCATCTCGGTAACTAGGTACTGTCCGCCTGAAATAGCAGCATTCCCGGTGGTCATTAACACGTCAACGTCGGCTTGCGAAATATTGTGTTTGAGGTCAGTCAACATCATCGGTCCCTGTACTCTATATCTTGTGATAAAACCCGGCGGCGTCGCCCTCTCGGGGTACCAACGCCCATCGCTAGTCTGACGGAGGCCTGTCGGCACGTTAAGAGAGGTTGAATCGAAGCCAGCCGCAACCAGTCTGCCCCTATTGACTTCTTTAGATCCTGACCCAAATTCGATTAGTAGATCGGCCGCCAACAAACCCCCGGTTACTATTAATAATAGAACTTTTGCGTATCCGTCCCGATTGTCATGTTCCATAACTAGGGTTCCCCTGGAGAATGGCCTCGGTGCTAGCTCGACTGCCTTACCGGCGACGACCCGTGAATACGCCCTAGCCCCAAGGACCCTAGACCATAACCATGATAAAGCAGTCGTCAGAGTGAGACTTAAAGCAATGAACCTGACCACGTTCCACATAGGGACTCCTATGGCTAGTATAACTATCATTGCGCGTGATTTGTGAGATTTTGAGAGTGGTTTGAAGTACAAAGAGTTTCCAGTCTTTTGAAAATGTCGACTTGTGTTAGTGGCGCTGTGGTTCCTTTTTACTGTATCTTCCACCTTGTTCGCCCCCTCGCTAGCCCTTTTCTTCCCTCCTCAGGGCGTGGAACTTGTCGCAGAACTCGAGAAAACTGCACTACGTGCGTGGCGATTGGCACAATCCGAAGCTGGAATAGCACATACGATAGATGCGCTACGGGGAACGGTAGTTGAGAAAAAGGGGGTAGTTTCTTGAGCGCGAGGAAGGGCTAAGGCTGCGACCTTGGCGTGGTAGCGAGACCGTGTCGATCACTGCAAACTCCCTACTCTGACAATCAAGAAGGGGGCACATGCGCCGCCCGCTCAGCACGGAGGAGAGCTCACTTTATATACAGAGAAGAATGGAGAGCTAGAATACTTCGAAAACCGCTTCAGATACTGGGGTAGGATGCCCGCAGCCCGCACTAAAAGTCCGGGTTAGAGAGGAATCAACTCTAGCCCCTCACAAAAAAGGGGGCAGCTGACTTCGTGCTAAATAGAAAGGGGGGTGCCTTTAAAAAGAACGATTTCCAAAATCTAAAATAGAAATACCAAAGCATGATCTGTTTTGGATCCATCAAAAGTCTTCAAAAAGCCGAAGCTACGACGCATTTATCTACAGGCGGAACAGGGTCCTGTTTCCAAAACGTGGCCCATTCATTGAATCGCAACAAGTAAATTTACGTTTGCAGCTTCAAGACTGAGGCATATCGGTCGTCACGTGGAACAAATTTGGAGACAGCGATGCACAAAACATTTATTAAAAATCTCTATCACAGCATCATTCTGAAGCTGACCATACTGCTGGTCAGTTGCATCTCAACGACGCAAGAGCAGAAGCAGCATCCCGTTTGTCAGCTGCTTTCTTCACAGCCAAAGCACGACGTATGTGCGAAGGTCTAGGCACAACAAAAAGTTCGCCGTAAAGTGCAGCGCGACGACGTGCGTTAGCAAGTTCGGTATCATGCCGACCTTTCTCTCGCATAGCTGCCTCATACACCCTGAGGGTGTATGAGGCAACAAATCGACAGCGAACGCCAGGAGGCTCCTGGCGTTCGCTGTTCGATTTGTTGTCGTTGATAGGTGCAGTACTTCCGCCTTATAAGAATAAGGACGGGAGACGGGCTCCGTATTCTTATAAAGCGGCTATTCTTATCGGTGTGTGTATGATAAGGTCCAGCAAGCTCGTCAGGGCATTCTAAAAAAGTCTAGTTGGTGCTGTACAGGTGAAAGTGCATATGAAGTCTCTCATGGTTTCTTATCGGAGCGCAAAGTAGCTTGAACGGATCAAAGATACAGAATTGCAATGTTGACCAGGTCTATAGTCTGGGATTGAGGTTGAGAAAACGTTCATATGCCGAGACAGCTGATTGATATTGCTTCTTGGCCCCTTTTTGAGGTGTACGTACACGCCTTGCTGAACCCCAAAATTGAGCTCATCCAGAAATTTTTATTCTGTTGTCGAATATGAATAAAATGCTGCTTCATGTGCCTTTGTTGGGCACTCTCAACAGGTGGTTACGTCCCCCAGTGACTGAAGTCATGTGGTGAGTGTCAACAACGACGTGAGGGGATGTGAGGTCAAGAAGGTCCATGATTCGGGCATGTATTGCCCTTTTACTCCGTGGGTCAGTACCCACTCGTGTGGTGTCCCACGGGTCGACCCCCTCCACTATGTCGTCGCCATGCCAACAATAATCCCCTACTGTCGGCTGCGGACAAACTCTACCGGGTGAAACGTGTCCGTGGCAGGCCGGGATGAGTAATGAGGAAGTGACGCAGACCGATCCTTGAGGCGAGCCCAGGCTGTGCACGGTGTCTACCCACCACATGCTCGGGCTCCATTCGACCTCTACCAAGCCGTGTACCGGCGGGTACTCTTGGTACGATGGGATGGGGCAGTCAATCACTAAGTGACCTCTCCCGCAGGGTCCTGAACAGGCCGGACGGAGCACGCCCATGCTGATAAAGGAGAGAATCTCGCCAACAATGCAACGCTGTTCAGCGGCGACCGCAAGTCGGTCGACTCCCCGCTGCATAGTCCATGGCTTATCCATAACATCTGAGATGTGGGTTATTGTAGTGTAGACTCGCCTCCGTCCAAGTACTAGTGCCTCATTTCTGAAAACCCCACTCCTTTCGGTGGTCGGTCTATCCGGCCGTAGCTGCAAAAGAGCGAGTCGTTAGTAGACCACCACTCATCGAGGGTAACGCACAATTCAGTTCGTTTGTGGGTAGGTGAAGTATGCTTGAAGGTGGAGCAAAAGCGGTGGTCACCTTCCCGTGCACTGCGCACAAGTGTTACGACCGGTGGTAGATGCTCTTTCTGTCTGTAGAATGTGGTGGCGTCACGCCGCTCTCTACCCGCTGAAAGCTGTAATGAGCAGTGGCTGCAACACTCGCTCCATGGGTCCGAGGGCTCCGACGGGCACGAACACGACTGGGGTGTGGACGCCCTTAGTGCGTTAGCATCGCCCGGTTGAGAGAGGTTTTTGGTGTGGGTTGCCGCGTCTCGGCCCTCTGTCGGGTCGCGTGGCGGACATGTGCAATGATCTCGGCACTTGGCGCAGGACCGCCTCCCTCGGTGGGGGCGGTTTCCGCATGCGTGTGTTTGGGGGCTCGGCGTGAGGACGGAGTGGCTGCAAAAGGGCATCTGCGCCCTTCCCCTCTTTGGACTCGGGGTTCTGACAGAAGAGGTGGCGCGCTGTGTGAGGTTAAAAAATCAATACATTAATTAATAATTTTAGGATTCACAAAGCTAGCTTTCATTTTGAGAATTTTTCTTACGTACCCCTTTTATTTTTGAATTTTCCGAGAGGGTTGACAAAGCGCAGCGGCAGCGAGACGTAAATTACAGTGTCAAGCCAGCACAGTGCAGCATGTGTCGCGCACGCGCATCCGAGAATCAGTTGACGGATGTGTTTAATTCCAATGGTATCAAAGTGCGCGTAAGCATGTATTGATATCCCGCGTGCTTACAGAACATGGGCTGTAAGCTTACCGTCCCCGCAGACGGCAAGCTTACATGGACCTATATGTACTACGCCCACGTCCGAGCTCCCCACGCCGAGACACAGAACAATAAACAACTCGAGCAAGCAACTCTACGCTACTCTAGTCTGCGAAGGCACAAGCCGGAGCCCGTTCTCACCCCTGAAGGCGCAACGCCGGATCACTCACCCCCCCCTCTACTTCCCTTCTCATACTATCCTTTCTCTCCTTTTCCCCGCGCGCCAATCCCGCTCCCTGATCGTACAGAGAGCAGTGCACGCGAAGCACAAGGCCCCCTTTCGACGACAGCATGAGAGTGCTGCGCTCGCCAGGTTCGCTGCGAATTCCTCACCGCAGCGGACAATGTCCAAGCGAAGCGGCACGTGGCGGCAGCCCTTCAAGCGGGGGAGAAACAGGCAAGTTGCCCTTCGACAGGCGGAGTCTGACACCGACTACCTAAAGTTCAGTTGGTGTCAGGCTGCTCCTGTGGGGGGTAATCCAGCCGTCCTATTTCCCCCTCAGTATCCCTAGTATCCTTCCCCTCTCATACCTCAACCATCGCCACATCGACACCCTTCGCCCATGCCGGCCGGGCAAGCAGGTCGCCCGGCAAGCGCGAGGGCGCGTGTAATTTAGACGGCGGCGGGAGGTGCGCAGGAGCGCTGGCGCGGCATGTGTCGAGCGAATGGGTGCTATTATCGGAGGCACTCGGGAAGGCGCGGGCGCCGTGGCAGCGTGCGCCACGCACGATGGCAGTTGGCGATGCGGGCAGCGCTGTGTACGGCGTATCATACGCGTAAAGTTGTGCCATCATGGCAGGCTGCCGGGCGACGCACGCGCAAGGAGCGCCGACCCCGATCGGCGGTGCGGACGCGCGCTGACGTGCCTGACCTGCAACTCGGAGCGGGAGGGAGGCGGGGTTGTCGGACAGCGTTTTCATGACGGCGCACGGGGCGTTCTACAGTACATGTCTCCTCTCACCTGGTGGAGGGTGCTGCAGGGGCACAGATGCCTGCAAGTTGTACGTGCACCAATGGGATACGCTACATTGGGGTGTAAGTTAAGTATGGAAGCGTGTTAGTGCGGGCGAAATATGGCAGAATTCATTAAGCTGCTACCAGTTTGAATGCCGCACTCCAGCAATGGTAACATGCCCTAATCGGAGCGCAGGGCTGCGCGTTGAGCAGTTGCGCGGGAAGAGCTACCCTTCCCTGGGAGGGTAATTTGGAATGCGAGGGTGATTTGGAGTATTGATTTACGCTAAAAAAAAAGCGGGAGACATTATAACTGTACTCGCAACCATGTCCAATTTCCAATTCAGTGTCCAAAAATTGGCTGAGCAGTGGCGAAAACCGTACTCCAAATTACCCTACATCGTAGAAAATCGGACCGGCTGAGAGTGGAGCGGAATCTTCGAGCTAAATTGTTTTCCGTTGTTTTCAGCCACGTTTTGGTGCATGGACGTGGTTTCCGACACCATCAGGCAGCGATTGGTTACTCATAATCGCGTTAGGTCCATGTGAAGCACTTTTTTCATTTATATTGTTTGAAATTCACTCCAAACTACCCTCGCGGAGAAGGGTAAAGTTTGCCTTGGTACCCTTGAAAGGTAATGATGCCATGACCTGCGCTGCCAGCAGCGCAGGTACCGTATCCTGCTGCGGGCAGTGTACACTGTACAGCATGTCACTGTGCCTCAGCGGCACACACAGTCACGGACACGTAAGTGCGGGCGCTACATGGGCTACCGCTAACGGTACCCTCCTGAAGGGTACCCATAGGGTAGTGCCGACGGGCGTCGTTATCGGACAACGGTAGCCGCATCCAGATCCGAGTGCCCCTCCACGTTGCCCCCTTCGCGACTTGCAACCGCCGTACTCGCGTGACGTGGATCGACATTGAGGGCCGGGTATGTCCCACATGCCGTGCAGCCCCCGACCCCCCTTCCCGCCCGCACCCATTTTCAACCATCTGTCCTTGAATCACCACCCAAACTCTGCCTCTGTCTGCCACTCCTTCCCCTCCCCTTCCCTCTCCCCTTCTAACTCGTCTTTCGACTCAAACACCTTCTCCCTCCTCCTTTCGTTGTCCTTCTTTCGTTGCCCGCCTCCTTCCCTTGTCCCCCTCCCTTGTCCCCCTCCCTTGTCCCCCTCCCCGGTCCTCCCCCCTTGTCCTCCTCCCTTATCCGCCTCACCCCCTCCCCCTCCCCCCTCCGCCTCACCC